GAGTCTGAGCCCTGCATCGGGCTCTGTGTTGACAGCTCGGAACCTGGAGCCTGCTTCGGATTCTGCATCTCCTTCTCTCTGTCTCTCCCCTCTTGCACTCTGTCTCTCTCTCAAAAATAAAAACGTTTTTAAAAAAGTAAAAGAAAATATTAAAAAACAAAACAGACCGACCAAAAAGGAAACAGGATTTTATAAACCTCCACACTTCTTTCTCTTATACACACACACACACACACACACACACACACACGGTTTTCCCCTATTCCAACCACTACCACCAGCACTTCAGTGTTTGGGAAGTTCTTTATCTCCATTCTCTCCTCTGAAAACCTACTGGCAACCCACATCTACAACAGTGATGTTAAGGCTTTAAATTAAAATTGACCTTTTACTCAAATGCTTAATACCATATATGTATATGACACACATATAATATAAATACACATAACACATATATAACGTATATATATACATACAGCTAAAATACATCAGATCTTGAATCTCATCTGACTTCACAGGGTACTGAGAGGCTCAATTAAATAATACAACAGCTGTGGAAAGAGGCCTGTAAGCTGTAAGGCATTACCCACCGCGCTTACTGCCTAACTTTGCGGATTAGCCGCCATTAGGTCATCCCCCGCCCATGCTTTTCTCTCTCCTCCAAACCTTTCAAAATATCTTGCGCCTCCTTCTCGCCTTCTCCCCGCCCAAACAGTTCAGTCCATCATCTCTGAAAGAGTAATCCTGTCCCCAAACAGGACTGTCTTGATGAGGCCCACTGGCTGCCAGGGAGCCCAACCCGGATACCACTGTCGCTAGGGAAATTTACTCAAATTTCACGGTGTTACAGCCTCATGGGAAATAAGGACAGAAGATGGTCAACGGGGAAAGGAGTAAAGAGAGAGAGGAGAGAGAGGGCAGGAGAGCAGTCTCAGTCTGGTAACTCAGAGAGGTAAATCAGACGTAACAGAATATATATATGAGGAGATTAACACACACACACACACTCTAAAACACAGGTTGATTTGGGACATGTAATTATTCTCTCTTGCTTGTTACTCCTCGCTTTGGGGTCTTTTAAAAATTCACCACACCAGCAACTAATCCAGAACATAATTATATTCAATGACATCTGGCGCCTTCCCCACATCCTATGTGCAGACCCTTGAAACCCCCTCTCCCTGTCTATCCCCTTCATGGTACCCACCCAGTAAAGTCCCCTGCAACGCAAGGCCTAGAAAGGTGAGACCGCACAGGCTTACAGCATCATTTACCCTCACTTCCTGGCGGAATGAGTATTTTCAGTTAAATTTAAGGCACACTTGGGGCACCTGGGGGGCTCAGGCAGTTGAGCGTCCAACTTCAGCTCAGGTCATGATCTCACGGTTTGGGAGGTCAAGCCCCGCGTCGGGCTCTGTGCTGCTCTTTTCCCTGCTTTGGATTCTGTGTCTCCCTCTCTCTCTGCTCCTCCCTACTAGTTCTCTCTCACGCATGCACTCTCAAAAATAAATAAACATTAAAAAAAATTTTTTTAATTTAAGGCACACTAAACAACTACTATGGTTACCTCAAGGTCACTGCAATTCTCAGGAAAGATTAAACAGCCCAAGAGTCTAAGACAAGATCTGCTCCTTTTCCTTGTCTGCCTTTTCCTTGTCTTACTACAAAATAGTTCTCTTTTCTTTCTTAACTTACCTTGCAATGTACATTTGCATATTCCATACAGGCCAGTATTTTCTATCATTTCATAAATTCTACACTCACTCTAGTACAACAGCTAGACTAGTTCTCTGGCCCTAAGGTTCTTTTTTTCCTCTGACACTAAACAACTGCTTTTATAATTTCCTAAATTTTCAAAACATTGTTAATTAGCACATACCAAATTAACATACTAACAAGTTATATTTTTACACTTTTCATTTCCTGATTTGTCTTTTTCCGGTTGAATCACACTATTTGATTACAAGTAGTTCTTAGGCTTCTTCTCAACTTGGACTCAATTATTTACATGTTACAAATATTAACTATTTCAAAATAATGATTAAATGACTCTTTATTCATTCAATTTACAATAAGAGTTTGTAGTTATATCAAGAGTTTTATCGGCAAAAAAGTCAATTCTTCACTGCCCCAAAGAAAGAGTTTATCATCATCATGAAAGTTAAGACATGTGTGGTTAGTAATCCAATCTTAAGATTTGGGAAACAATTCAAAATACAATGGCTGCAAAAATTCAGAGCAGTCCCAAGAGAATGAAGGTTGTCCAAGATACCAAATCAAGACCTACACAGATAATAAAGAAGGAAAGTCGAAATCTCAAGCCTTGTCATCTTTCCTTGAGTCTCCTGTTAATTTCAGTACCGAAAAGAACTTGCTCTGGATTGCTGAAATGTTTAAATGAGTTCATTAATATCAAATCACTTTAAAAAGTTATATGCATTATAAAAATTAAAAGAGGGGTGCCTGGGTGGCTCAATCGGTTTGGGCATCTGACTGTTGACTTCAGCTCAGGTCACGATCTCACAGTTTGTGGGTTCGAGCCCCACATCAGGCTCCATGCTGGCAGTGAGTAGACTGCTTGGGATTCTCTCTCTCTCTCTGCCCCTACCCTGCTCATGTGCTCTGTCTTCCTCTTTCTCTCAAAAATAAATAAACTTAGGGGCGCCTGGGTGGCTCAGTCAGTTAAGCGTCCGACTTCGGCTCAGGTCATGATCTCACGGTTCGTGGGTTCGAGCCCCGCATCGGGCTCTGTGCTGACAGCTAGCTCAGAGCCTGGAGCCTGTTTCAAATTCTGTATCTCCCTCTCTCTCTGACCCTCCCCTGTTCGCACTCTCTCTCAGAAATAAAATATTTTTAAAAAATTTTTTAAATTAATTAATTAATTAAACTAAAAAAAAGATATTAGCATAGGGGCGCCTGATTGGCTCAGTTGGTTAAGTTTCCAACTCCTGATTTCAGCTCAGGTCATGATCTCACAGTTAGTGGGATCAAGCCCCACACGTTACGCACTGACAGCTGCTTAAGGCTGCTTGAAATTCTCTCTCCCTCTCTCTCTGCCCCTCCCCTGCTCGCACAAATGCACAAGGGCTCGCTCGGTCTCTAAAAACTAAACATTTTTTTAAAAAATAAAAGGTGTTAGCATAGCAAAAAATATATATATTTCATCATGGTAAGCAGAGAAAGAAAGAACACACCTGTTCCCTAAAATTAATGAAAGGCTACACGGTGACAGATGCTAAGGACACTTATCTGGTGAGCACTGTGTAATGTACAGAACTGTCCAATCACTATGCTGTATACCTAAAACTGATATAATACTATAAATCAACTACACTAATTTAAAAACAAAGTTCGAGGCCTATCTCCCTTGCTCCTCCTCATCAAAACAAATGTTAAACAGATACCTACCCCGCATTCACTGATACCCTGGCAACAACCTACTTAAGTCACGGGTGTAAAAACGCTAAAAGGTCATACAGTGTAGTTCAGTTTGGAAAAGTGAGAATCCTCCACAGGGCTGAGAAGATTAAAAAAAAAAAAAACAACAACCCTAAGTTCTGATAAGTGTAGATAAGTGTATTAATAAACAGAGAAAACTACTTTTTTACAGCACATGATTAATTTCACCGCTGGTAACTTTTATTAACATGACCTATACAACTGCTGCTCAAGATTTGTGGGCGATGCGGATTTTACCATGAACCAAAAATTACAACTAAAACAGAAGTAAGGGATTCAGATGTGAATGGAGGTAGAATTTTTTCATATACTTGGACACACTTCAGCCTTAAAAAAAAGAAAAAACAAAACAGTAAAGCACAAAGTAAGTTAATGTTCTAAGGTCAGGCACAGGGATGGTGTCCCATCTGGCTGCTATGAAACCTAGTCTGGACACAGAGGAATCCTGCCTTGTCAATGAAATCCCTGATGACACCGAATGACAGCAACACACTCAAGAAAACGAAGTGAACCAGGATCCTTGTAAAGCCCAAACGCTTCTAGATCCAGTGCACCTGAAATAATTGTAAGCGCCAAGTGTCAGTTAATCTAGCCGGGAGCTAGAGCAATTATGTGTCTCCCCCCCCCCCACTTCCCCAACAACGACCCTAAATGTCACAATCCTAAATGTCACTGCGAGAAAATACTTCCAAACTTTTTCTGAATAAAAATGGCGCTGCTTCCCCATCACACTACTGTTTATTTCTCAACAACCCTTGGGCCTTCCACACAAACTCAACTGGCCTCGTTGAAATACCTCCCTTCCCCAAACAGTGTCATGTGGGTTTTTTCTTTTTTTTGAGGAGTGTGGGAGAGACGGGTAGGGTGGCTTCTTCCAACCACAAGGTTGCAACTTTCTCAGCTAGAAATCCTGGGATTATCACCTGACTTTGACTTTGCTTCATAACCCCTGCCTTCCCCGCAAACTGTTGCCTCTCGGTGAAATAAGCCACACTCCAATGCAAACTGTCCCAAGGCGCGGGTCGCTGGCCTCCCCCACGCCACGCTCGCGCGTCTAGTGCGCTCTCCGCCGAGGTCCATCCATCCTGCTTCCCCGTGGGGCATTCGGTGCCACGCGCGCCGGGCACAGACACCGAAGCACAGCCTTTCTACACCGTCTACACCCGTGCCCACACGCACTGCAAGCGGCTTCGGGACTCCGGATCGCCGAGCGCCCGGCGCACACACGACCCGGCTCGGGGCGCTGCTGTGGCGGGCAGCAGGGCCAAGCATGCACGCGCGCACGTCGGTGCCCGGAGCCCCCCCACCCCCACCCCCGCCCCGGGCTGCACGGGCACGGCCGGGATGGGGGCTGGGTGGGCACGCCGGGGAGGGGCTGCTGGCGCGAGATGGCGTGCGGACAACAACAGGCGGGCCGCCCCCTCCCCTCAAGGGGCGGCCCCCGCCGCAGCCCGTGCCAGGGGTCCCGGCTCCCGCGCCGAGGGCACACGGCCGGGGAGGGGGCGGCGAGGGCGCGACGCCAGCGGGGCCGCCTCGGGTACCTGGTCGATGGGCAGCTGCACGGCGTTGCTGAGGGGCTGCAGCAGGGTGGAGCCCGTGGTGCTGGTGGTGGCCATGGCCGGCCTGGCGCTCCGCCCGCCGCGCTCCGGCCGCCCGCGCCGCTCGCCCGCGCGCCGTGCCGGGCGACGCCGAGGATGGGGATGCAGCCGGCGCGCCTGCCCCCTGGCCGCCCGCGGTGTGAGCGGCGCGGGGCGGGGCCAGGGAGGGGCCGGGGGCGGCGACCGGCTCGGCCCTCCCCCGATGCCCCCGCCCGCGCCCGCGTGCCCGCGCGCCCGCCCGCCCGCGCCCCCGGCCGCCCGCCCGCGCCCGCTCCCGCGCCCGCCCCGCCCCCTGACTTCCAGCAGCTTCCAGCGCCCCCTCCCCACCTCGCGCGCCCTCGCGCCAGACAGCCCCGCCGCCCAATCGCGGTGCGGCGCCTCGACGCCCGCAGCCAATCAGAGGGCGCTGGCCGCGCCGCGCCCCGCCCCTACCTCAGGCCTCCGCGAGGGGCCGAGGGGCGGCGGCGGCCGACGGCCGCTCGCAGGCCGCCCAACGCGGGGCGGACGTGGCGGGGTTTCGCCCTGTCACCTTTCCTTCGTCCTTCCCGACAGTCGGCGGACAGCCACCCTTCTCTTGGAGGAACCGTGGAAACAAAGGGGAACGGGGTGGCCGCCAGACAAAGGGAACGACGTGAGGGTCGTCGTTGAGCCCGGGCTGGGGGGCGTTGGGGACCAAACCAGGAGGCTCGGAAGAGGGGGGCAACAAACCAAGAAAGTGACCTGGATAAGATGTCCCTTTGTCTTCAGGATTGCGGTGGACAAGCCCGAACTTGAAGCCATTTCCAGTTGTGTGTGCCCCTCTGGCACCCCCACCCCCACCCCGAGCCCGGGGGGGGGGGGTCCCTCGGGGGCGAGAGACCCCGGTGCAGGTGGACGCGGCCGCGCCCCAACCCGGGCCGGAGACCGTCTCCCCTGAACTGCTCGCTGTTGGTGGCCAGCTCGCTGTCCGAGCATCTCTGCACCCCTCGGTCACCTTCTCCCGCGTCTCCACGGGTGTGCTGTTGCCACCCGGTGTGTGTGGTGGTTTGTGCGGGCTGTGTGTATATCGAGTCTGTTTGCCCAGACTTAATTTTTTTTTTTAATTTTTTAAGAACCATTTGAGTTCCTTGGAAATGCAAGTGTCCACTTCTGTTTAAAAGACTTTTTCCCAAAGGACTGATGGTGAATATCAGGAAAACTCAAAATGCAACGGTCTGAAATTTTTGGTAGAAACAGCTCAACCGCAGGTTAAACGCTGCTGTGAATGCTTTAAAGGCCCCAACAAACCACGTGATAAAAGTACGATTACCTCCCCTCCCCCCCAAAGAAGGAGTCACAGAGAAGTCTGGTAAATGACCAGAAGCGCACAGCTAATAGGTAGCAGAGAAAGGGTTGAGAGCCAAGTATTAGACCTTTACAGTTTATCTCTTAAACACTAGGCCCTCTTCTTCCCCGCACTTGAACCCAGTCCGGAAAGTCTCCTCGGCTATCAGGTGTCCCCTTTACTAGATTCCTGCTGGGGAGCCTTGGGTGCTCAGACAGCACAGATACAAACACCCTGAGTCTGTAAATTCCCTGGACCTCGGTGTCTGGAAAGGAGGCAGCCGAGTTGCTAGGTCCAATCTCTTGCTGCCTGTCTTTGGTTGTTGGATTAATTTAATCGTAACCAAACTGATTAAAGGACAGAAGGAAATGCCAGGGCCTTCATTCTGCCTGGGGTAGTGGTGTTCCCAGTGGGAGTTGTAATCGGTTAGAGAACAAACCTGATCAATGGGCTGCTCATTAAAACATATTACACCAATAATCTGGAGCTCTCTATTAATCTCATGTTAGGAAAGTTATTCTTTCCCTTCTCTCCACTGTGGGGAATCGTAGAGAAAGCGCACAGGTGTCTGAGCATAAAACTGAAGGCAAAATTGAAATACCATTTAAAAACCTTAAAAGGTGGGTGTTGGTAACATATTGCAACCTATATAAAGTAGCATAAAGATACAGTCTCAGGTCTAGAACAAATAATGTCTACAAAAAAAAAAAAGTTTCCTTAGACTGACTTTTTTATCTCAGTAGAACATGAATGATAACACCTCTACTTGGGGGTCAAATATCTGAAATAGGCAGGATTTTAGCCATCTGAAAATTTGACTGTGTCAGAGTTGTAAAGCTATAGGTAAAATATAGTGTAATGTTAATACTTAGGTGGAAGTCAGCCCTAGGTTTTCAGTGTCTCTGCCTTTGATTTGCTGCAAACATCTTGAGCTACTCAACCTTTCTAAGCCTCAGTTTCCTCTTGTATAAAAATGACCATTATAATAGCACCAAAACCATGGGTTATAAGGTTAGAAAGCTTATGTAAATGATGAGCTCAGAGCTGTGCTTGGTATATGGTAAAACTTTAAAAAATATATTAATTACCATCCAAGAAATGTAATTCTGAAAATGGTAACTACCTTTCTTATATTAAAAATACTACATCTTCATGTTTTTAGTGAAGAAATTGAGGCCTGTGTTTTGAGCTAATAATTCAGTGGTGATCGCAGAAGTTTGATTGATGCAGGCCTCCTGTCCAGTATCTGCTAATTAGACTAAAAGCTATTAAACTCTGATGAAAGGGGAAAGAATTGAACTAATAATATATAATGCCTCACTCTCCTACCTCAGATAGCATCCATCCTATAAAAGTAAGCCTCACTATCTTAATTCTTTTTTTTTAATATTTTTATTTATTTCTAGGAGAGAGAGAGAGAGAGAGCGTGAGCAGGGAGGGTCAGAGAGAGTGGGAGTCACAGACTGAAACAGGCTCCAGGCTCTGAGCCGGCAGTCAGCACAGAGCCCGAAGCGGGGCCCGAACCCACGAACCGCGAGATCATGACCTAAGCGAAAGTCGGACACTTAACCGACTAAGCCACCCAGGCGCCCCAGAAACTAAATAATTTCATGGGCGCCTTCTTCCTCTAAGATTATACGATTCCCAAGAATGTCTAGATTTTTTTCTGTCTTCCTGAGCCTACATCCAGTCTAGGTTTATTTGACTAAGAGATGTAAACAAAACTATTACTCATCAACTTGAGAATTGCATTTGCTTTCCACTTGCCCTGCTGGTTTTGGAATGAAGTCTCATTTATTTTATCTGTAGTCAAGTTTCTTCTTCAAAAGGTCCGTGATTGTCAGGGGCCTGTGATGACTTCTGTGTCATATCTCTGCACCTAGGGGAAGTGTTCTATTTCCCTCATGGGGTAATGGCTTTTTCACCTTTAGATGAATGAGTCAAACCTCAATAAAAAGAAGACACCCTTACAGTTTATTTACCGTAAGAACGCCATCTGAAACTCTTTGGTGTCAGTGTGCAAACTCTCAGGCTTCCTCATGTTTGTGTAATGGCATTTGTGTCCGAATGATGAAACGTGTTAAATGTAAGTCACAATACCCCACCCGAGATTTTATCATAATTACCATTACCACTAGTAACATTTACTGCGTCTACTTCATACGCCGTGTAAGAAGGCCTCATTTTCTCAGTTCTGCCTAATATTTCAGGTTATTTCTGTTTCCCTATAATTACAAAAAGAGTTCCCTTCCTTGGAAATGGTGATATCTCACCGCTCTTCTAAAGAGTCTAGTCTGACTCGTGGAGAGGAGTTATACCCCCTCTTCTGTTGCCAGCTAGGCAACAAAGAGAAAGCCTTCACTCCAGCCCACCACGTTCTGTGTGGTCCCCCAGAGGCCTAACACTTTGAGCAAATTTCCCTCTTCGTGGGTAAATGTGTCAAAGAACATATTGTGTTGTAGGTATTTTCTGCTCCAACCCTTCCTCCATTACTGTCATTTTTCAGATGCTGGGTTTTGCTTCACAGATTATAATTCTGATGCAAGAGCCCTTAGCAGTAAAGAACTAGGAATGAGCATCATCTCTACTATGAAGTCAATGGTTGTTACCACATCTAACCTAGTTCCCTTGCCAAAGAACTTGCCCTCCCGTACAGATGACTTCCGGTTAAACATGAGGTACGTGGTAAGGAATGCCTTGTAATCAGATAATGGTCTGGTTTCGATTTCATCAAATTATCTTTTAATTTATTTTCCACTTGAAAGCTGAGAGTTATTCTCTCTTATTTGCGTTTTTATATGTAAATTCTGATCTGGGTTTTAAATCCTGTATGCCACAAGACAATTCCTATTAAAATCACAACACATTAAAATTAAGCTGGAAATCTGGGGCACCTGGCTGGCTCAGCTGGTAGGGCATGTGACTCTTGATCTCGGGGTTGTGAGTTTGAGCCCCACCTTGGACACAGAGCTGACCTAAAAAATAATTGAGTTATAATTGGCAAGCTATTTTTTAAAAATCAAGTGGAAATCTATAACGAGATACCAAGTATTTCCAAGGTAGCTTAAACCGATTGTACTATTAGATTTATAAATAATGAGTTGACACTTCCAAAATGAGAATGCAGAGCAGGTGAAAATACCACCATTGGAAGCTCCTTTCTTAGAGTCTTCATCTGAAATATTATCCCTAATTTGGGGAAGACATCAGGAGGGTAGAGTTATCGAATGTACTGGGGAAAGAAGTTGGTCACTAGAACCAAATTTCCTGAGTTTGAAGCCTACTTGCTACGTGTTTGATTTGGGTAGGTAATTGACCTCCTGGGGCCTCAGTCTTCCCATCTATAAACTGGGAATTATATATATATATATATTTTTTAAAGGGGAGGGCACCTGGGTGGCTCAGTCAGTTAAGCGTCTGACTTCAACTCAGGTCATGATCTCACAGTCCGTGAGTTTGAGCCCCGCATCAGGCTCTGGGCTGACAGCTCAGAGCCTGGAGCCTGTTTCAGATTCTGTCTCTCTCTCTCTCTCTCTCTCTCTCTCTTCTCCTCCTCCTCCTCCCCCCCTGCTCATGCTCTGTCTCTCTCTCAAAAATTAAATAAGTAAATAAATAAATAAAAATAAAAATATTTTAAAAATAAATAAAATGGGAATAATAATGATTTGTGCTATTCAAACCACCTGACACTTGTCACACTGTAAGCTCTCAGTAAACATTAGCCATCATCGCCTCCATCATCATTATCACCACTGTTATTATAGGAGTCGCAGGTCTCTAAGTAAATGGTCAGATTTACCATGGGAACCATAGACCAAGTAGAGGAAGTGTATATTAGCACAAAAAGTTAATTTAGTCGCTTATCTCTCCAAATTGACAGGGAAAACCAAACCACCAAGGACTAAAATTCGAAGTATAAAGAGAACATAAATTTGAGAACATTAATTTTTTTTGTTTTTTTTTTAAGTTTTTATTTAAATGACAGTTCGTTAAGGGACACCTGGGTGGCTCGGTTGGCTGAGTGTCTGACTCTTGATTTCAACCTCAAGTCAAGATCCCAGGGTCATGGGATTGAGTCCTACATCAGGCTCCACACTCAGTGTGGCTTTGGGATTCTGTCTCTGTCTCTCTTCCTCTGCCCTTCCCCTGCTTCAGTGCGTGCATCTGAGTTCTATCTAAAAAAAATTCCAGTATAGTTAACATACAGTCATGTTGGAACTAATATGAACTCATATTAGTGTACTCATCACAAGTGCACTTCTCAATCCCCATCACTTATTTAACCCATTCCCATACTCACTTTCTCTCTGGCAATCATCAGTTTGTTGTCTATATGCAAGAGTTTTTCTTGGCTTGCTTCTCTCTGTTTCTTTTTCCCCTTTGCTTATTTGTTTTGTGTGTCTTAAATTCCACATATGAGTAAAATCATATGGTATTTGTCTTTCTCTTTCTCTGACTAACTTATTTTGCTTAGCATAATACTCCGTAGCTCCATCCATGTCATTGTAAGTGGCAAGATTTCATTCTTTTTTATGGCTGAGTATTATTCCATTTTTTATGGCTGTGTATGATTCCATTATTCCTTTTCTTTATCCATTCATCAACTGACAGATACTTGGGCTGTTCCATATTTGGTTATTGTAGATAACGCTACTATAAATAGCAGGGTGCATGTATCCCTTCTAATCAGTGTTTTCATATTCTTTGGATAAATATCCAGTAGGGCAATTACTGCAAGGTAGGGTAGTTCTATTTTTAACTTTTTGAGGAAACTCCATACTGTTTTCCACAGTGGCTGGCTGCACCAGTTTGCATTCTCACTAATAGTTCGAGAGAGTTCCCCTTTCTCCACATCCTTACCAATGCCTGTTGTTTCTTGTGTTGTTGATTTTAGCCATTCTGACAGGTGTGAGGTGATCCTCATTGCAGTTTTGATGCATTTTCCTGATAATCAGTGATGTTGAACATCTTTTTATGAGTCTGTTGGCCATCTGTATGTCTTCTTCAGAAAAATATCTGTTCATGTCTTCTGCCCATGTTTTTAATTGGATTACTCATCTTTTGCGTGTTGAGCTTTATAAGTTCTTTATGTATTTTGGATATTAACACCTTATCAGAAATATCATTTGCAAATATCTTCTCCATTCCATAGGTTGTCTTTTAGTTTTGTTGATTATTTCCATTGCTGTGCAGAAGCTTTTTATTTTGATGTAGTCCCAATAGTTTATTTTTGCTTTTGTTTCCCTTGCCTCAGGAGACGTATCTAGAAAGAAATTGCTATGGCTGATGTCAAAGAAGTTACTGCCTGTGTTCTCTAGGATTTTTATGGTTTTAGGTCTCACATTTGGGTCTTTATCCATTTTGAATTTATTTTTGTGTATGATGTAAGAAAGTGGTCCAGTTTCATTCTTTTGCATATTGCTGTCTAGTTTTCCCAACACCATTTGTTGAAGACACAGTCTTTGTTTCATTGGATAGTCTTTCCTACTTTGGTGAAGATTAATTGACCACGTAATTGTAGGTTCATTCCTGGAGTCTCTATTTTGTTCCATTGATCTCTTTGTCTATTTTTGTGCCAGTACCATATTGTTTTGATCACTACAGCTTTGTAATATAACTTGAATTGTGATGCCCCCTACTTCTTTTTATTCTTTTTCAAGGTTGCTTTAACTATTGGGGGTCTTTTATGGTCCCATACAAATTTTAGGATTGTTGAGAACATTAAATGACTAATCACAGTCCTGGCCTACCTCACCTGAAAGCATTTATAGAGGTTTATATTCACAGAAATTGATAAGAGGACCAGTGTTAAACCTTATCTTCTTCACAAATGTTGTAATATACTGTTGAAAATTAGATCATTTTGTTTTTTAACCATCAGTATCTATTCCAAGCCTTTACAACCTACACAGTAGAAAATATGAAGACAAAGACAAACAGTAATTAATACAAGGATTTCATGGAAAACTAAGCAGATGAATGTATAATTTATAGTTTGGAGTATTATTTTGCAAGACATTTAAAAATTATTACCCTGAGTGATTATTTTGAAAATTCCAGGTACCAGTAGACTTCATCCTTCTGTACAGTATTTTTTAAAATACCATCTCTCTGAATCCACAAATACTTATCTCTTTTTTTTTTTTTTTTTTTGGTCCCCATCCAACTGGTAACCAATGAAATGATCTTATATTATTCTAGGACAGGAGCCAGGAACTTGATCTTATTGCATAAAGCTACTCTGTTCCTCTTCATGCAAAATATATTCAGCCTCTGGTCCCTAGATACTTATCTGAGAGAGCACTTAAAATTGTTCCCTATGGAGTTGCTTGAGTGTCACTAGGAAATGAATTAAAAGAAAAAGAAAACCAACTCAGATATATCTGATACAACCCAACAAGTCAGTGTGTTTCAGTGGCTTAACTAGAATCACTCAGGACTCTCGTTTAAAATCCAGGTTTCTGGACAATATGAAACACATGAAGAATCAGAATTTGAAGAAGAAACAGGAGAAGTAGAAAGAGAGAGGGGGCAAAGGGGGGTGGATTTAAAAGCTAGGGCCCTTGTATCTGTATTTTCCCAGTGTCCATGGGTGATTCCTAGGACACTGAAGTTTAAGAATCGTTGCACTAGGGTCTTATTTTGTTGACAACCTCATTTTAATTAAGCAAATACAGAAACAAGACACAGATGTTGACTCTTATACCAAAACGAGTAACTTAGGTTTTATTATCTTTCAGATCTACAAATAATCAACCCATAACCGTTTTTTCTATGTCAAAATAACTAGATCCACTAGTTATCTAGTTAATTAGTTATAATACTAAATTAGTAATGATAACTATGAAAACTAACATTATTAGATTCCTTCTGTTGTTTAAATGAAATCAAAATGAAGTACTCTCGAACCCCAGGGTGGCTCAGTCGGTTAAGTGTTGGACCCCTGATTTGGGGTCAGGTCATGATGTCACAGTTTGTGAGTTTGAGCCTCACATCAGGCTCTGTGTTGACAGCATGGGGCCTGCTTGGGATTTTCTCTCCCTCTCTCTTGGCCCTTCCCCTTCTCGCATGCTTGTGAGCACGTGCGCGCTCTCTCTCTCTCTCTCAAAATAAATAAATAAACATAAAAAAGTGAAATGCTCTGAGTAAATCCTTGATTATATACGTATAATCTTTTATGTTTCTGATAACTGTGGTTTCCTACGAATATCAGAAATCTGCCAATTTTGAGACCTGCATTTGAAAGCCAATACTGGCCAATATACCATTCAAATGATAGAATCTTTGGACCAGGAAGGGAATTAGGGAGGAAAGGGAATACATTTACCACAGTGTTCAGTTTTAAGAGGCTCATTTAGATCAAGACCTGTAAATAATATTCATATCTAAAGTCTTTGCCAAGGTATGGTATATCTGAGGACTTCTATGGAGAGAAAGCAATTATAGAAAAATATTAACAAGATCATCCAGGGAGAAAATGAAAAAAGAACCAGTTAAGAGGTCTTAGAACAATGCAGGCTTTTTTTTTTTTTTTTGAATTTCACTTCACGTATGTGTACATAAATGGCACTAGATGAACAAGTTAAAAATCAAACAGTAATATAAGACTTTAAGGAGAAAGGAAGGTCCCATCCTGCTTATTCCCACTCTTGACTTTTGCTTCCCATAGTCAACATTT